GAATAACAATCCACAGGAAATGCCTCCCCACCATTTCTCACGACCACGGGCATTCTTTGTATGGCTTTCCCTAAGTGAATTGAGTGTGATGGTGACCATTTGAAGGGCTGGGATGGAGGTCAATGGTACAGTGCTTTACTAGCATTCATGAGGCCCTGAGTTCAATCCCCAAGGGAGGGAAAAAAAGAAAATGGTTATGAATATTAGGAATTATGTATGGAAGGACCTGGAACACTTGGTAGTGTCTCTGAGACCTGAACATATGCAGAACCCCAGCTCTAACCTTGTCTCTGCTAGATTACCACATATGCTCCATGTGGGGTGCAAGGTTGGGCTTTCTCCATGCCTCCCGATACTGAAGGAGGCTGAAGATAAACAAGATGTCTGTGGTAGTTTGAGTGAGAAGAGTGACACTATTTGAAAGGATTAGAAGGATTAGGAAGTATGGCCTTGTTGGAGGAAATGTATCATTTTGGGTGGGCTTTGAGGTTTCAAAAGCCTGTGCCAAGCCCAAGTCTCTCTCTTTGCCTACGGATGTAGCTTTCAGGTACTGCTCCGCTGCCTGCCTGTGTGCTGCCATACTCCCTGCCATGATGATAACATACTACATCTTTGAAAATGTAAGCAAGCAGCCAATTAAATGCTTTCTCTTATAATAGCTGCCTTGTCACAGTGTCTCTTTACAACAATAGAACAGGGACTAGGAATACTATCCAACCACAAAGGCCAGAAGAAATTTACACGATGGGCTGACCACATGCTATAAATCACCACAGCAAAGACAAGAATGAAGTAGATCTAGGCCAGACAAGCTGACTCAGCAAGTAAAGAAGCTTGCCCTCAACCTGAAGACCTGAGTTCAATTCCCCAGGACCCATATGGCAGGAGAAAAGTGACTCCACAGATGTGATGAGGTATGCAGGAACTCACACACACACATACACAAGAAAGGAAAGAAGGAAGGAAGGAAGTAGATCAGGGAAAATAACTTGGAAAATATGTCAGAATATACTGTAAAATTATAGGGGGAAAGGCAAGTTATAAGAACAATTAATAAGTGTAGACTCGTTTTTATTTACTATGTTCTGGGAAAGGCATGCAAGTTACGCCAGGCTGTAGGTAGGATCTACCTATGCCTGTAGGAATCCAGAGGAAATGAGCTCTGCCTCAGGAGGTTATGCAAATAAGGCTGGCTCTAGCAGGGAGGGACGCTGCAGGGTTTCCCACCCGGTTCCGACCATGCCTACGATGCCTGCGCAGTGTGTGAGAGAGGGGCGGTGAGGAACAGTGGGCAGAGTCCATCCCCAAGGGAAAGGGTTAAATATCCCGCGCTTCTGTGGGCGGGCTCGACGATGAGATCGGCAGAGCCGAGCTCTGCTGGCCGAGCCTGAGCATCTCCGAGGATGCGGCGCCGGGAGAGGCTGCAGGGACGCGCGCAAGGTGAACGCGGGGCTGCGGGTGCAGCGCGCAGGTGAGGAGCTGGCCGAGGGAGGGGACAATGTCAGGACCCAGGAAAGCGAGGAACAAGGCCTACAGCCCCTTTGCGGGCATGGGCGGCCAGGCCTGCATGGTACCTACCCCCACCCGGGACACTGCGGGAAGGCGTGGAGCCAGGGTGAGCGGAGCTGGAGGAGGAGGAGGAGGACGAGAGGTAACCCGAGATGGACCAGCTCCTGCAGACTGTCCTGCGGAGGCCCTCACCCTGCTTCCCCAACCCCCCTCCTTTCTCTCCTAATCTCTGATTGATCTCACCTCCCCTCAGACCTGTCCAGCCATGGGACCTCAACGCTGGGCAAGCTCCTGCCTGGACTGCAGGTGTCCACATCTCTTGCATCGGGGGTGGTAGGCAGATGGCATGTTATTCACTGAAGGCCCAGCTCAGCCATCTCCTCCTCTGCAAAGCTTACAGAGCTCCTGTGCAAGATGAGCCCTGTGAGCTTCAGTATCTCTAGTATGTGTGCTAAGTTGGCTGTGCGACCTTGGGCAAGTTGCTCAACCTCTCTTATTCTTGATTGCCCCCTTTCCTTTCCTATCTAATGGGTACTTGTACCTTGTATGGGAAGTGATTGTATGGGTACTTAGGTGTAGAATGGGAGCCTACCCTAGCAAACAGCCCAACACTGAGCATTATTCTCAACCTATACCCACCTCGGGGGCTCCAGGTCCTCCCTTAGCACACCCCAGTCCCAGCCTCAGAACTGAGGACTTTATGGGTCCCCAGCTCCCAGCGTGGGACATGAGCAGAACCTGGGGCTTTTTAGATGATTGAGAGAGAGACCTTATCAGGGCTGGAAAGATGGCTCAGTGGTTAAGAGAGACCTTTAAAGGCTATCTGAATTAAAGCTGGAGCTGAACCCAAGAGGTCTGCGAATCCCGAAACTGCCCATGACCTCTGATGAGCCTGAGGCCTCCCTAGGAAGGGTATCTGGAGTTACCAACTGGCTTCTCCAAGTGTTTGGGCCACCAAAGGTGGCTGTATCCAAGAGGAAAGGAACCTGCCCTTAACACAGCTGGCCCTCAGCTGGCTCTCAGCTGGCTGGCCCCTCCTACCTCCCTGGCCTACTTAAGGGTGGACTCAGGAACAGGGACACTGTAGGAACATCCACCTGGGCTGTGACTGTACAGGGGCTGGAAGTGTGAAATGAGAGAGATAGGAGTCCCAGGCCAGTGGCAAACAGCAGATGATATACAGGGGGTGTTGCCCTTGGGGTAGGGAGAGCCAGGAACAGACAGCTTCCCCAGTGAGCAGTGTCTATGCCCCTGCAAGCTACCTTCCTGTCTTCCCTGGGCATGAGTGCTGACCTCTTTCTCTTTAAAAAAACTTCTACTCAGACCTCATCATGTCTAAGCTTCCCAATCCTTGTGATGATCTACACGGGCCCTTGCAGTCCAGTTTACTGACCACCAACCACCAAAGGATAGTATGTCCTGAGCTCACCAAGCTCACTTCTACTCTACAGCCTTTGCATATGCCCATCCCTCTGCCAGATGTTTTTCCTTCAGATCTTCAAATGCTTGGCTCTATCTTTTTGTTTGTTTGTTTGTTTTTCGAGACAGGGTTTCTCTGTGGCTTTGGAGGCTGTCCTGGAACTAGCTCTTATAGACCAGCTTGGCTCTATCTTACCATTCAGCATTTAGCTTAAGTGTCACCTCAGAGAGGCTCTCCTGACACCCCTTGTAGAGATTCTCCTCCTTCTATCATCTAATCCCATCTTATTTCCTTCAAGGCTAAACTTTATTTTAGAGAGTCTCACTGTGTAGCTCTAGCTGGCCTGCACCTTGCTATGTAGATCACTCTGACTCTGAACTCACAGAGATCCATCTGTCTCTGCCTCAAGAGCTAAACTTTAACATTTTTTAAATTGTATGTATTGTGTGTGTGTGTGTGTGTGTGTGTGTGTGTGTAGGTCAGAAAACAACCCAAGGCGATTAGTTTTTTCTTCCCACCATGTGGGTCCTGATCAGGGATTGAAGTCAGGTCATCATCAGGCTTGGCAGCAAGCACCTTTATCCATTGAGCCACCTCAGTGGCCCTTAACTTTAAAATCATTTCTTGCTCATCTTATCTAGATGTCTCTCCACATTGGGGAGGGGGCAGTCTTCAATCTTGTTCACTGTTTTATCCCCAGGGTCTGTTCAGTTTATTTGTTGAACTAGTGGGGGAAGAATGGGGGAAGGAAGCTTTCTAGACAAAGATTAAGGAGATAGGGCCCTACTATCAAGTTCTTACTGTGGGTCTGACCCTTGTGTGTCTCATTATTTATGCTTCATATGAATTCCCTTGAGGTAGATGATCTTGTTAGCTTTATTTACAGAGAAGAAAGCCACGTGCTGGAGAAAAAATGTAACTCACCCAGGAGACACGATGCCATGACTCCAACTCAGGTCCTTCCTCAAATGCAGGGACACATTCCTCTTTCTCTTTTAGCAGAGGTGGCCCTTGATAAATCTAATTTCAGGGCAGGCAAGAAGGCTCAGCAGGTAAAGAGACTTGCTGCCAAGCCATCTGCGTTTGATCCCTGGGACCAATGTGGAAGGAGAAAACTGACTTCCGTAAGTTGCCCTGCTCTCCACACACTTGCTGTGGCAGGTGTCCCCCCTTCACTAAATGCATATGTGTAATTTAAAAAAAAAAAAAAGTAAAACCTGAGCCAGGCCATGGTGGTGCATGCCTTTAATCGAAGCACTCAGGAGGCGGAGGCAGGCAGATCTCTGTGAGTTTGAGGCCAGCCTGGTCTACAGAGGGAGTTCCAGGACAGGCTCCAAAACTACAAAGAAACCCTGTCTCGAAAAACAAAACAAAATTAAAACCTTATTTCAGGGACTGGAGAGATAGCTTAGCCAGTCAGAGAAAGTAGTGCTGGTGGTGTAGGGTTCCTGGCACTGAGGTGCTGGTTCACAGGTGCCTCTAACTCAGCTCCAGGCACTCCAAGTCTCCTCTGGCTTTCACAGGCACCCCACTTAACATACACAGCCATCCCTATCAAATTGTACATATGTATTTTAAAGAAATATTTAAAAGGATGGGCCTGGTGGCACATACCTTTAATCCTAGCTCTCAGAAGGCAGAGGCAAGTAGAGCTCTGTGAGTTCAAGGCCAGCCTGGTCTATATAGTGAGTTCCAGGTCAGCCAGGGCTACATAGGCCTGCCTCAAAAAATGAAATTTCAAAGAAAAACTTCAATTTCATCAGATACTTGATACTTGAGTGTTAGGATGGCCCACTGAGTGCTGGACAGTGGTTGAGCCACCAGGCCTGGCCACAGCCTTGGAAGGCCAGGAATAGAACTTGTATTCTCTTCCAAGAGACCCAGTTTTTAAAATCTTTAAAATCAGGGGGACATTGTTGCCAATGGTTCTCTTATTTCCCACTGGCCCCTTGGGGAGTTGATAGGACCTTTCAACCCTCACACTCCATCTCTCTTTATCTTTTCTCTCTCCCCTTTTGTAGGCTTAACCAGTGAGGTCTAGAAGTCAAGGGCTCTACACTCAAATTAAACCATGGCCCCTAGCTCACGAGGCTCTGTATGTCCTCTCCTTCTGCTATTGCTGTTGCTGTGCCTAGGGGCTGGACCTGCCTTGGGCAGAAACCTTCCCAGGCCACTTGAGGATTCAGAACCCCATTTGATCTCATCAGAGCCACAGACCTTTGACCTCTTCTGGGAGAAGCTGAGAAATGAGAGTTCCTGGCACAGTGGCATTCCCCAGGCCCCTTCCGATAGCCTCGAGAGGCCTGCAAACTCTCCCCTAGGACCAGCCCTGCGTGGACCCAAAGCAGCCCCAGAGGGCCAGGGTGAAAGACTCCTAATAGCTGATGACCTCCAGCTGGCCCGAGGGCTTACCTCCCAAGGCTGGACAGGACCTCCTGGCTCACAGGAACTTCTGGAGCCAGAAACACCAGCTCCCCACCCAGTGGGAGCACCCCATCTCATGTTTATTAATACAACTCACAGCCCTCAACTCAGGATAGCCACTCTTCCCACTGCCCCACAGAAGCCTGGAGGCCAAGCAGTACAACAGCCAGCTAGGAATGAGGGTCTAATGGCCAAAGCCAAGAACTCCATCACACAGGCTTCCCCCTGGGACTACCAGAACTCTCCTCACACTCTGGTACCCGAGGCAGGTGCTGTGAGGCTAGTGCTGGGGAAGCAGGGTGGGCATGAAGAGGGCTTCCAGGAGGCTGTCCAGGGCCCCCTACTCACCCAGCAGGAGCCAGTGGTCCCTGAGGTTGGCTCAACATCCCCAATTGAGGTGGCATCCACTCAGGAGCCTGGAGCCCAACTAGACCTGGCATTGGCCAGAAGCCCTCCTCTTCCAGAGGGGCTGCCAGCTGAGCCCCCCAAAAAAGCTGGAGGTGGGGATACCTGGGAAGTCAGCTCTCTGGGACCCCAGCCTGAGCAGACTGACCTCCTTGCTGGACAAGACTCCCCAGCACCCCAGCCAATACCACCTTCAACCTCAGACACTTCTGATGGGCAGCTAAGACCAGGTAGGTACCACCATGAGGGGGCCGAATGGGGTTGTGAGGACCAATAGTCCAAGGCAGCTAGATGTAACTCTGGGTATCATTTCCCTCCTTCTGGCAAATTAGGGTGATGGGTGCCTCCCTCCTGAGGGACTGGATTTGGGGGGACACTGGAGAGTCAGACGAGGTGGTGACTATTCTTGCCATTTCAGCAATAGCCTCAATGAACGGAGCAGACCCTATCTCCCCACAGAGAGTGAGAGGAGCAATGGAGGCTCCAGGAACCCCCAGGTCCTTCATCCCTGATCTCCCAAACTCTGCTCAAGCTGCAAATGGAACAGAGAGCCCTGTGAGAGGCCCACAGCCAGGTGAGGCCATGGCTAGGGGTGAGGGGAGAGTAACCAAGAACTATGTTTAGTGAAGAGGCAGAGGGACCGGGCTAAATGGAGAAAAGCACCTGCTTACTGGAATTGGCTAGGACCTCCTTGAGTGGCTGAGAAAAATAAACCAGTGTTCACTGGAGACTCCAGGAGAAGACACTGGCTCTTCTGAGCTAGGATGCTCTTCTGTGCAACACAGACATACCTTGTGCAGTCATTCTCCATCCCACCCAGAACCCCAGCACTCTGGATGCTGACACAAGGGGATCACAAGTTTGAGTTCAAGGCTCAGTAAGACTGTTTCAAAATCAAAACATGCAAAGGGGTTGGAAATGCAACTTGATGGTAGAGTTATTGCCTGACATATGAAAGATCTTAGGATCAATTCCCAGCACCAAAAAAAAAAAAAAAAAAAAAAAAAAAAAAAAAAAGGGAAGAAAGGAAGTTTTACATCTGTCTTGTCTTTGCTAGCCAGTGGGAACCAAACTATACATTGTGCCCTTGTCATGACCCAATGACTGTGGCAGGTGCTATTATCTTCATTTGACAGATGTCCTTGGAAAATTAATTTACTAACTACAGTTTTGAATATGGAAAAATCAAAAGCACTTTGTGTCTGTTTGGGGTTCTGTTGTTGTTTCCTGTTTGTTTGGTTGTTATTTGTTTGAAATGGGGGTCTCAAGTAGCCTAGACTGTCCTTGAACTCACTATGTAGCTGAAGATGGCCTTAAAGTCTTGATCCTTCTGCCCCTGCCTCCTATTACAAGAGTGGGCCTCCACACCCCGCTCTCAACAGCACTTCCCAAAGAACCCTTTTAATACTGTTATTATTGCAGATGAAGCCGAGGAATGGCCGGGTCGCCCACAAAGCCACCCTCCAGCACCCCCTGTCCAGGCCCCCTCGACAACTCGGCGCGGCCTTGTTAGAGTCACTACACAGAGAGCTCTGGGCCAACCACCCCCTCCGGAGCCCTCAGCCAGCTCCATAGCTCCAGTTCCAGCTTCTAGCCCCCCAGCCAATGCCACTGCACCCCCCCTGCGTTGGGGACCTCTGCGGCAGGTGCTGAGTTTTTCCTGGGAGCTTCATGTCTATGGGGTGGGGGTGCTTTTCCTGCTTCCAGCATTATTGGCGTTAGTCACACTGGCAGCTGCTCTAGCGGGACCCCGATTGGCACTAGTGGCTGCCGTGCTGGTGTTGGTGGCTTCAGCGCTGCGATCTGCCTACATGCTCACCGATCCTTATGGCTCTCAGGCAAGGCTGGGAGTACGTGCTGGCCTGGTGCTATACAACCTGCCCTTTCCCTTGCTACTCACTGCACTGGCAGCACTCACCCTGCTGGGCCTGGGTGCTGGGCTGCCACAGCCTCTGCAGAAGCCGCTCCTGCTGGGAGCCGTGGCACCGGTGCATACTGCAGGTTTGTTGGTCACAGACCTGTTCTCCACCAGGCCTGTGCTCAACCTCCTGACACAAGGCTTTTCTTGCGCCTGGGGCGCATCGGTGGCTCTGGGCACACTCTGTCTGTGTCGTCGCCGCCTACTGGAAGGCCCTCGGGGCTGGGATGCCAGTCCAGGTCCACGGCTGCTGGCTGTGGCAGGCTCGCTGGGGCTGCTGGCCAGTGGTCTGCAGTTAGCAGCCTCGCTCTGGCTGTACCCAGGACCTGGCCGGGAGGGTCGCTTCTCCTGGGCCTGGTGGGGTGTGCATTTCTGGTTGCGTCTGCTGGAGCTGACCTGGGCACTGGCCCTGGCGTTGGCCGCCCTGGCCGCCACACGTCCCAGGCCGCCCACGGAGCATGCTTGCTGGGCTAAGCTGCTACGCCTGGCATGTCCCGCGCCCACGGGCAAGAGCGAGGTGCCCGAGAGACCAAACAACTGCTATGCGGGGCCCAGTGGCCTGGCCACAGGAGGCCTGGACATCAGCAAAAGCCTCATTCGCAACGCTGCGGAAGGT